GGGGGGGCCCCCGGGGGCCCCGCCCCCGCCTCAGCTGCGGGTGTCCCGAGGGGGCTGGGCTGCCCATGGGCTCCTCCCGGGGACCCCAGCACCCCTGTCCCCCTTCTCATCCCGAGCCCCTGTCGGGGCTTCTCCCGGCACAGCTTTATCCTCACACCCCCGCCCCTCTCACGCCGCGCTGGTTTTGCTTTCTTTCTTTAGGGACCCAAACAGAAAGATGGGAAAAAAGGGAAAGGGAAGAAAGCTTCGGCAGTGGTGGATGTTGTGGGCCCGGAGGAGATGACCAAGGAGCAGGTGAGTGATCCCCCCACCTCCCCCGCTAGGGACCCCTGCTTGGCACCTGGCTCTGGGGACAACAGGTGGCAGAGGGTCACAGAGAGAAGCAGCAGGGGTTCGTGTCACTGCCTGACGCCTGTCTAGGCTGGAGTGGGGGGAGGTTCTCAATGTTCCTGGAAAGAGCAGCCCCTTTTCCCACCTTCCCTTCTCCTGTCTTACTGCCAAGGGTGTGCCCAGGTGGCCTACGTAACCTGCAGCATCGTGGTTTGTATCAGCACTAGTGTGGCCAGCAGGACCAGGACAGGGATCATCCCTCTGTGCTGGGCACTGGTGAGGGGACACCTCAAATCTTGGGGTCAGTTCTGGGCTCCTCACCACAAGAAGGACATGGAGGGGCTGCAGCGTATCCAGAGAAGGGCAACTGAGCTGGGGAAGGGGCTGGAGCACAAGTCTGAGGAGGAGCAGCTGAGTGAGCTGGGGGTGTCCAGCCTGGGGAAGAGGAGGCTGAGGGGAGACCTGCTGGCTCTGTAACTGCCTGAGAGGAGGGCTCTCTGGTCCTGGACACTGTCCATGGGTCAGGGTTCCTCCTTGTGTCCCCCATGCTCCTCCATCCCTGTGACAGCTGCTGTGTCTGTCCTGGTGTCTTGCAGAGGTGTCTGTCCGAGGCCGCCTCTCCCCCTGACCTGGCTCTTCCCCTTGTTCCTGCAGCTGGAGATGCACGTTGCGCGTCTCCGGGAGGAGCTGGAGCGGGAGCGGGAAGAGAGGAACTTTTTCAAGCTGGAGGGTGAGAAGATCCGCACCTTCTTGGAGGTGACCCGGCAGCAGCTGGAGGAGAAGAAAGCTGAGCTGCGGAACAGGGACCGGGAGATGGAGGAGGCAGAGGAGCGGCATCAAGTGGAGATCAAGGTGGGAGGGGGGAAGGTTGGGGGGTGTCATGGGTGCCCTAAGCTCTGGGTGAGCATCAGACAGGTCTCCAGAGAAGCAGGAAGAGGAGGAGGAGCTGGCTGGGATGTGAGCCAGGAGCATCTCTGCCAGTATCCCAGCTCTGGGGACTCCTGCTGAGGCCCCTCACCCATCTGTGTCTTCTCTGTAGATTTACAAGCAGAAGGTGAAGCACTTGTTGCACGAACACCAGGAGAACCTGACAGAGCTGAAGGCAGAGGACAACCTGTCCATGCTGCGGGCCCAGAAGGATCACTGGGCCCAGGAGGCAGGGCTGCAGAAGGACGTGCGCTCCTTGAAAGTGGAGCTGAAGGAGCAGGAGCTGGCCAACGAGAAGGCCATGAAGAACATGTGCCTGGTATGTCCCCAGCTGGGCCAGAGCCCGCAGCAGGTGCCTCTGCCCCAGGGGGAGGTGGTGGAGCTGATGGTTGAGCCCCTGCATGTTAGCAGGAGCCTCTGGCTCTCCGTGGGTGGGATGGGGGTTCCCACAAGTAACAGACAGACATGGAGACAGTAGAAAGAACAGGAATGGGGAGAGGGGCTTCCTGGGGCACCTCCTGTGAACCCCCCTCCCGCAGCAGGGAGCTGGGAGAGCCACTGTTTGCATGGGTAACGTGGGCTCAGTGCCATGGCAGGAGCAGGAGGGGAATCCCTTGGGATGTGGCTGACTCAGGATTTGCTTGTTCTGCCTCCAACACATGCTGCTTGTCCCCAACAGAAACAGGAGGAGGAGATCACCCAGCTCTGCAACGACTTTGAGAGAGAAGTGAGAGGTCAGGATGTGAGAAATCCCTTCGTCAGTGCACTGAGGAAGGCTCCTCTGGGCTCTGCTGCGTTGCCAGGGGCTCTGGAAGAGCCTCCAGTGGGAAGGAACCAGTCTTCTCCCCAGTCTTCCCCCCCATTCTGCCCTGTTTTCCCCCAGTTCTTCCTCCCCTGTGCTCCGGTGCTGCCAGACCCCCAGCATCAAGCAGCTGGAGTGAGGAGGGTGCCTGAGGGGAGCCCTTGCAGTGTCCTCACTCCCGTCTCCTCCTCAGGGGAGGTTTCAGGTTCTCCCGGGCTGCCTTGGAGCTTTTCCATGCCCTCTTTCCAAGGATGCTATTTCTGGGCTCCACGCTCCCAGGGCTGGTGGCAGCTGCGGTGACGCCACTAACGAGCGTCCTGTCCTCGAGTCCTGCCGCGGCGGCACGCGCAGGGTCCCCAGGTCACCCAGCCCCCTCTCTGCTCCCCCAGAGACCGAGGCCAAGTACACCAAGAAGATGCAAGTGCTGCGGGACGAGCTCGACCTGCGGAGGAAGACGGAGCTCCACGAGATGGAGGAGAGGAAGAACACCCAGATCGAGGAGCTGATGAGGAACCACGAGAAGGCTTTCGCTGACATGAAGAACTACTACAACGACATCACCCTCAAAAACCTGTCCCTCATCAGCTTACTGAAGGTACTGCCTGTCCCCGCCACCAGCCTGGCAGCGTCCCCTTCCCCCAAGGGACCAGTTCTGTGAGGGCTGAGGACATGGTTTAGTGGGGACTTGGCAGTGCTGGGTTAACGGTTGGACTTGATCTTAAAGGTCTTTTCCTACCAAAACCATTCTGTGATTCCACCCAGATCTTGGCTGCCTGGATGCTGCTGCCCTCCTAGGGGTTGTACACCCTTGCATGGTCAAAGCACGGGGGAAGTGTCCTGCTGGGTCGGCAGCCTGGGGGGTGTCTGGGGTGGGGGGACAGCCCCCAGGACTTGGCACCCATGTTCCCAAAAATAGGAGCAGATAGAAGAGATGAAGCAGAGAGAGAATAAACTGGAAAAGGAGAAGTCAGACGTGATGCTCCATAACAAGCAGCTGAAAGAGCCCCTGCAACAGGCCCGGGAGCAGCTGTTTGAGCTGCAGAAGAAGTTGGCCCACTATGACAAGGACAAGATGGCCCTGACAGTGAGTGGCCAGCCCTGTCCTTCCCTGAGTTGCCCTGGCTCATTCCTGGAGGAGCTGCTGGCCTTGGCCAGATTGCTGAGCAAAGCCCTTTGGGTCCCTTCAGCTTAGCTGGAGGCTTGTATGGTCTCTGATGGGACTCCCAGGGCTCGAGAAACCAGAGCAGCAGAGAGGGGAGGGAGCTGGGGGTGGCTGCCAGGTTTTTCTTGCCTGTGTCTCTGCTGGTCACTCTCCTCCCTTGCCAGAGTGTGCTCCCTGCATCTCCCAGTGCTCTTTAACTGTCCCTTCCCACTCACAGAACACAAAAGCCCGTCTGAAAGTCACTCAGAAAGAACTGAAGGATCTCCAATGGGAACATGAAGTGCTGGAGCAGAGGTTCAGGAAGGTGAGAGCTGCAGGAGGGTCTGGGCATCCCACTCCCCTCCCTGTACCCTCCACCGAGGGCTGGGCACAGGGACGCAGCAGATCCTGTGCTCAGCCCAGAGCTTTCCCAAGCTCTAATCCAGAGCCCTGCTGCAGTTCCTGTTTCCCACAAAGCTGTGGCCTCTCCCACGGTCAGCAGACAGGCCTGGCCTTGTCCTTGGCAGAGCAATCCCACACGCTCCAGCAGTCCCTCTGCCTGGCTCGGGGGCAGAGCTGTGGGGAGAGATCATCACGGGCCACCAGCCTGGTCACAGCTCCCAGCACTGGGAGGCCACTTCCCCCCCTCCTGGCGGTGGCTCAGGATCAGTCCTGTTCTCCCAGGCTCAGCCTCTCCTCCCCCCCCACTAACCCAGATAAATCTGTAGAGGCAGAAGGGAGCTTGTCTGCGATTCGTGGAAATCCCCAGGAATATGAACATTGATCTGAGGCCTCGTTAACAATCCATCATTAAGGCAGCAACGTGTTCAGTGTGTTCAGAAATAGGCTGTGGAGGAGAGACTGTGCCCTAATTAGGACACTTATTAACTAGCTGTGAGCCAGGGCCTCCTGCCAGCTGCTAGGAGGAGAAGAGAGACCCCCGAGTGCAGTGGGGCCCCCTCTGAGGGTGAAAATGGCTGCAGGGAGACAGTTTTGCTGTCGCGGTGTCCATGCCTGGAGGGGGGAGGAAGTGGGTGCTGAGGAGGTGCCATGGAGGAAGGGAAGCTGCACCCCAGCACCTGCCTTCCCTGCAGGCTGCAGGTGCCATGAGGAACAGCCAGAGTTGCTGGGCCTGTTTACTGCCAGCCCGGGGTCCCCAGGGGAGTGACAGTGTCCTGTCTCTGGGAGCAGGTGCAGGAGGAGCGTGATGAGCTCTACCAGAAATTCACCAAAGCCATTCAGGAGGTGCAGCAGAAAACAGGCTTCAAGAACCTGCTCCTGGAGCGCAAGATGAAAGGGCTCCTCAGCGTCCTGGAGAAGAAGGAGATGGAGCTCAGCGAGGTCCTTGCAGCCTCCAACCTTGACCCGGGTGCTCTCTCCTTGGTCTCAGACAAGCTGAAGGTACCGTGTGCTGCCAGGGCCCTGCCGAGGCTGGGCAAGGGGGGCAGAGGCTGCTCCAAGGCTAATGCAGCCCTGCAGCCTGCAAGTCCCCATCCCACGGGGCTGGAACCACCACATCACTCCTTCCCACCACTCCCTGGGCCATGCATGGTGCCCTCCAGCTTTCCCTCGAGAGCGGAGCGTGTGGGTGTTGGGGTTTGGCAGCGATTGGTCCCGCAGGTGGGGCCTGGTCCCAGGAGCAGGGCCCCAGGCCAAGCGGCTCTCCCAGCTCCCCGGGGTGGCAGAGCTGGTGAGCCTTGCCTGGCTGAGCAGGGCTGGGTTCCCAGGGGCACCATGGCGGCTGTCCTGCTAAAAATATGGATGCAGGGAGTCTGGGAGACCCACATTCCTGCAGCCGTAACTGGAGAAGTGGCACTTGCTCTGGGCTGGGTTGAGGTGCTGGGGATGTGGGTTCCACTGCTCCAGTGCCCTCCTGCTCGTCTCATGCTAGGCTGTCCCCTGTCCCCTCTGCTGTGGGTGGCAGTGAGGGCAGGGGCAC